AAGGTGAAAAGGTGGAAAACCCTTAGAACCAGGGTGTGACACACACACACACACACCTGTGAACAATTAATGTGACGATAATATTAAGAAATCAAAACACATGGAAGCTTGGCATGGCTTGCAACCAACACTTCGCACCTCGGCAAAACGCTCGGGGAATGGGCACGGCAGGCTCCTCGCCTCACAGGAATCAGGCACCCACACCCTGGCAATCCTGACATGTTATATACCACAGGTCTCTCAGAGGTCTTTTGGATCAGTACATTCCGGCTGTAATTCCCGACTGCCATGTTGTCTCTTGAGACCACTCATCACAAACAAGAACAGCTGAAGGTCTTGAGATGTCTTGACCGCAGGCGGAACTGTACCACGAAGTACATCATGCCCAAAACATCATTTAACTCCAGCCTGTGTTTGGGACAGGTGTTGGAGGCGCTCGAGGGATCGCCTGAACTGCCCAGTGCACTTGTTTGGTGTTCAGGTCCTTGACGACCTTGGGACACAACATGCCTTGTCAACGACCTTGTGCGTGGATAACTCCAATACTGTAAATAGTGGAGAACAATGCATTTCATTCTGGATGCCACTGTTAGCAGGTCCAAGCAACTGTTAGCTGAGCATCTTCCTGCAAGTGCGTGCCGGTTTTGAGGCGCTATAGAACCCACCCCCGTGGCTCAGTCTAAGTTCAGTCCATTCCTACTACATCCACTTGTTGCAGCTCCCTATTTTATGCTATTATCTAGCTTCTGTTCACTCCACTTCACGCCTCCCAGTTGTAGGCTGCCTCCAGTGCAGACAACCTTAGAACAAAATCAAGACAGTAACACTCAAGAAAGTCATGTCTTGGGTTTTGGACCACAATCATCTCCAATGTCGCTTAGAAACAGCCGGTGCGATACTTTGAATGATGATGCTGTTCTTAGCAGCTGTTCCGGCTCATAAGTGCGAGTCCTGAGCTGGGAAGAAGCTGGGAAACGCGATGAGAAGCTTGACCGATTTACCAAGCTAAGTTGCTGTGCGAACTTCTTCAAGAAGCTTAGGGCCACACACCTGGGTACTGTTTCAGCTTCTCCGGCAACCAAACGCCAACTATAGCACTAGAAACTGTACTCTGCCAAAAGCCCAGTGCATTGACGACTTCCGACCAGACACGTGTCTATATGGGCCAACTCATCCTGGATGTCGTACAAGAGGGCCAGGCCCACCTGCACGATGATCCTCCATCCAGCCACCAGGAATCCTTGGAATATATGTGGAGACTGGCCGTGCAGGGGGGGTTGCAAGCTTCCAGGAGACTTTGTGCAATTTCACCCATGTATGTGTATACTATATATACGGTATACATCGATATATGTGCGTATGTATGCATGTATATATTGTCAATTTCGGCCTTGCTGCATGTCACATGTTGACCAAGATGCATCGTTCGCCATTGCCACAGACTCAAGGGTGGGTGGGTGGCTGTCAGTTCGTGCGAGCCATAGGAAACGACCGTCGGAGCATCACAGGGCTGGTGTTGGAAAAGGAAGCGGTCGCTCAGGCTACGGTGGAAGGGGAAGCAGGAGCTTCGACCATTTGGCTTCGACAATTCAATACCCTTTTCTGCTTGTTCGCGTGAGTCCAATCGCCGGCTGTCTCCCTACCAAGTCGAAGCCGGTGTGGTTTCGATATTGGTAGCGGAGCTACCTGGACGATCGCACAGGGAGTTCTTGAACGTACATTGCTGGAGCTGTTGACATTGCATTGTTGGACAAGTTGAGTTTGAGATCATGCCGGACTCCGCAGGTTCAACGACCTTGGACGTTGGTGCAGCAGGATCGAGCAACCAGCTGGCTTCACTGATTCCGACTTTCGATCCATCGACAGATAGTGTGGAGCAGTGGACCCAAAAGATTGAGCTGCTCACCAAGGTGTGGCCTGAAGGCCGCTTGAATGAGTTAGCAACTCGCATCATCCTCAACTGCCGAGGGTCGGCATTTGCAAAGTTACAGCTACAACAGAAAGAACTTCTTTCAGGCAACGTCGAAAGCATCGCCAAGATTGTGGAAATAGTTGGAGGCCAATTTGGCCAGGTAAGCCTTGAACAGAAATTTGACATCGTGGAAAAGGCTCTCTTCAGGCGCAATCAAAAAGCCAACGAAAGCGCTGATTCGTATTTGGCCAGGTCGGAAGTTGTATGGACTGAATTGTTGATGAAAAAGGTGAATCTGGCTGAAGTTCAGGCCTACATCATCCTCCGAGGCACTTGTCGAGTCCGGCGCCGAAAAGGCCGGTAGCGAATTGGAGATGAAGAAGGTCTCAGCTGCAATCAGGATGTTGGGTTCAATCTTCTTCACCGAGTTCACCTCCGGGAAGCGTGAAAAGAACCAGAAAACGTATGATCACCTCACCTTTGGAGTCGATGAAGTGGAGGAATACTCCTGGGAAGGGGATGACCCCATGGAAGAAGAGAACTTGGAGCCTTCAAGCAATACTAGACAAAACGGATAAAGAGAAAACCATTTGCACCATGGAAGAGTTTGAAACCGCATTCTCTTTTGCCACTCAGACCAAAAATAAATGGTCCCGTCGCAAGGGTTATCCACCAGAAATGTTAGTCTTTGGGAAGATGAGCAAGATACCAGGGTCCATCACAAGTGACACGTCGAATGCCGCTCATGATTTGGCCCTTCAGAATACATCCGACGGCATCAAATTTCGTACCAAGCTGGCCATCAGAGAAAGTGCTCGGAAAGCATTCTGCGAAGTGGATAATTCCCAGTCCCTTCGGAGAGCAGAACACCAGCGGACACGTCCAACGCGGACGGTATACCACCCAGGTGATTGGATCATGGTGCGGCGAAAGGACAACAATTGGTTTGGACCGTTGAAGATCATCCTCCAAGAGGACAAGAACGTCATTTGGGCAGTACTAGGTAATAGACTCTTCCGAGTGGCCCCCGAACATGCCAGACCTTTGTCTGCAGTCGAAGAAGTTCAACACTGGAAACGAAACGACCACCAAGACATGCAAGTTACTTTAGACAATCTTCGATCCGGAAATACCAGGGTTGCAGATTTGTCCAATCCCGAAGTGACGATACCACCTCCTGTCGCGACGAATTCGAACCAAGAAGAAAGCATTGAACAACCGGATCAAGAACCAGGAGTCCCAAATCAGTTTGATGTATCCCAAACAAATTCTGAACAAGAATACACTCCAACAATTCCAGACACACCGGAACATGAAAGTGCCCAGCCAGCACCTGAGAACATACCCATTCCGGAGGATGGAGATGAGGATTTGTTTTGTGAAGCATTCAACTGTGATGGCGAAGGACAGGCCTGGAGATTTGAAGTGGATATTGAGTCGAGGGATATTCAAATGTGGAGACAAGATCCCCAACCAGCAGAACTCGCCTTTCTAGTATCCGCCTCGAAAAGACAGAAAACAGAAGTGAAGCTTTCCAACTTAACACATGCCGAAAGAAAATTGTTTGATGAAGCCAAAGCCAAAGAAATTCAGAGCTGGCTAGACACTCAAACGGTCTGTCGTATCTTACGTCACAAGATTCCCCAACAGAACATTTTAAAGCGCCGGTGGATTTTGACCTGGAAGAACGCCGACGACAACACACATCTCAGTGCCGACAGCAAGAACG